GGGGGGCGCCCGCAGCCCCTGACGCCCCGGCCCCTCCCCTCCAGGTGCGCGGCGCCCCGGCCATCGCCCTAGTGGGCTGCCTCAGCCTCGCCGTGGAGCTGCAGGCGGGAGCCGGGGGACCGGGACCCGCCGCGCTCGTGGCATTCGTGCGCGACAAGCTGAGCTTCCTCGTCACCGCCCGGCCCACCGCCGTCAACATGGCCCGCGCCGCCCGCGACCTGGCGGACACCGCGGCCCGGGAGGCGGAGCGGGAGGGCGCCACGGAGGAGGCGGTCCGGGAGAGGTACGAGGACTTTGTGCCAGGCACCGCTCTGAGCGGAAGCTATTAACTGACTTTTTTAAAACTCTCAGCGACATATTTTACAGATGGGGAAACTGAGGCACGGCTCACTTAAGCCCTTGTCCAAGGTTGCACAGTCAGAGCTGGGGATCTTGCCTGGGCAGGCTGGCTCCAGCGTCCTTGCCTCAGCCTCCTAACTGTGTGCCTCCCCTGAACACACCTAGCACCCCCACCCACTTTTTGGTGTCACCTGTTCTCTTGTTTTTGCTTTTGAGGAATGTTGTTTCCCTGCCTTGATCCCCTCCCTGCCTTCTTCCCTCTCCCTTCCTTCCACTCCAGCCCCGCCCCTTGGTGCTACTTGGCCCCACCAGGCTGGCTCCTGCCTCAGGGCCTTTGCACACACCACTCCTGCAGGAATCCACAGAATTAATCTCACCTTCAGGTTTCAGGTTTCTGTCTTCCCCAACCGACCTTTTAATACATCTCATCACCCACTCTGTGACCTGATTCTGCCACCTTTTCCTTCTTTGCTGCCTGCCTGACCTCTTGTCAGCTTCATAGGGACAGAGAGTTTTGTCTAGTTTACTGCCATGTCTCCCTGGCACCTGGCACACTGGACGTGCTCCATAAATCTGTGTAGTGCTAGTGAATGGAGTGACAGTTTTGTGACCGTGGCAGAAGCTGTGCAGGCCCCACAGCTCCAAGAGGCTTCAAGCAGGACACAGCAGCGTTGTGCGGAGAGGTGGGATTGGCCTGGGCCCCAAGGCCTCGTGGCCGGTGCTAAAAGCCCCTTATCGGCCCCAGAGTGATCCGCTACGCCGAGGACATGCTGGAGAAAGACCTCAGAGACAATCGGAGCATTGGGGACCTGGGAGCCCGCCACCTCCTGGAGCGGGTGGCCCCTAGCGGTGGCAAAGTGACAGTGCTGACACACTGTAACACCGGTGCACTGGCCACCGCTGGCTATGGCACAGCCCTAGGTGAGTGAGCATCCTTGGAGGTAGTGAAGGGCCTTCCAGGGCCCTTTTTGGATGAGAGAGAAAGAAACCCAAACCACTTGACCCACAAAAGAGAAGTGAATGTATTGGTTCTTGTACAGAAACACTTAGGGGGTGGGCTTCAGGTATGGCTAGATCCAGGGGCTCAACCAATAGCATCAGGACCCATCTATCCCTGTTCTTCATCCTCAGACTCCACGGGTTGCCCAGGGGTTATCAGCATTCAGATCATGAGAGAAAGAGCCAAGGGTACCAGAAAAGTCTCCTTACATCTCAGGGGGTACAATAGGGTCGCCTGCCCACCCCAGATCAGTGACAGGACAAGCCCAGCCTGAACCATATGCCTAGAGACTGGGCGGGATGTGGATCACAGGAGGACCAGGGAGAATGGAGTGACCAAAGGAAGATTGGGGTAGGTGTGACCAGGAGTGAGAGGAATGGGTCAAGGCAGCAGATTCCACTTGACCCTGAATTCCCCAGGAAACTGCCCCACCTGCCTGGGTCCCACCCTCACCCCCGGGAGCTGGGGCCTTGATGGGAAGACCTCTGCATTTGATTCAGTCACTCAACCAGCATTTAATAAGCACTTTCTGTGCACCAGATACTGTTCCACCTGCTGGTGACATAGCAGTGAACATAGTCTGTAAAATCTCAGCTCTGTCTGGGGAGGGCCCAGAGGAGTAAGAACAGACATAGGCAAGATAAATAAATTCGGTCATTTCTCAGTCTCGGTAGGGGATTGGTTCCACGATTTCCTGAGGATGCTAAAATCTGCAGATGCTCATGTCCCTGGTATAAAGTGGCGCAGTATTTGCATATAACCTTCGTATGTTCTCCTGCATGCTTCAAGTCATCTTTGAGTTACTTATAACACCTGATACAATTGTAAATGCTATGTAAATAACTATTACACTGAGTTTTGTTTGGTTGCTTTTTTTTTTTTTGAGACAGAGCCTTTGCTCTGTCTCCCTGGCTAGAGTGCAGTGGCGTCAGCCTAGCTCACTGCAACCTCACACTCCTGGGCTCAA